CCCTATTTTGAATGGTTCTCGAAACCGTTTTCCGCCGAAAATTTGCTTGTTTTTTTCGGCGTCCATACGTAAGACTCAGCTGTGCATAAGCGATAATTTCAAAATGGGAGGATCGCATATGAGGTGGGAATATGTCCTGGCTTTTCTAATTGCTGCGTTGAAACAGGTTACAAAGTTCATTCGCTTCCGAACACACAAGACAATCTGTCAGCAGTTTGCGTTTTTGCATTTGCATAAATATGCAGAAACGAAGAAAAGTATAGTAATTGGCACATTTCAGACAGACTGAAAGAGAAGTTGTCGGAGGATGATTATCAGCGTTGTTTTCTTGTTATCGCTGGCGGATATGATGTGTTGAACAGGGAGAACGTTGCACATTTTGCGGAACTGCAGGAGCAAGCGACTGTCTTGGGATTACCGGTGCATCAGTATGTCTTCTTGAAATCACCAAGTACACTGCGTTTATTGTCACTATCTTATTTTTTTTTTTCCAAAAGGAGCAAAACTTCAATAAGTTATTAATGCCAAACTCATAATGGCGGCAGTAAATCACTCAAGAATGAAACGGACACCGGATTACAGACCGAATAGATTGGGAAACATACGTTAGAAAATCTGCACAAGTTTTTTTGGCTACTTTTGGAGTGAGATGTAGACACATCTGATGTGCTGCCTTTAGACTTTTTTGCAGGTAAAACTCAGGAAAGAGGGCGAAATTCACTGAGAGTTCTGCAAACTGGTGGCTGACAGTGACAGAGTGGAACTGTTTTACTCATTTCCAAAAGCTTATTTCCTAGAAGAATAGATTGTTGGTCCACAGTGCTTCCCTGAGTTGCTTATCTTCTTTACAATGATATTTAAAAAACAGTCAAAAGGAAAGTTGTCTACCGCGCAGCTACAATCCCAAGCCAATTAATCACTGAAACTAATAAGTTACCAACAAACTGTACAAGCATGTTCCTTTGAAGCGGCAGAGGCTGCGGCTTAAAGAATTATTCTCAAAATGCATGGAAGTCTGGCCACTTTGATGGGAAGATTAATCTCAATAGTGCTAAACTGTATTGACAGGTAAATGAAAAAAACTCATTTTTATTGGATTTTGACTTTTTGAGTTCAGGAATAAAGTCTCTCAAGGCTGGATAATTTAGCGGATGAAGAGAAGCTGGAATTACTAAGGTGCGCAACGGCAGTACTCTACACGCCGAGCAACGAACATTTTGGTATTGTGCCAGTGGAGGCGATGTACATGAGGTGTTGTGTTATTGCGCCGAATAACGGCGGACCACGAGAAAGCATTATCGATGGCGAAACTGGGTTTCTTGTAAATGCGGATGCGGATTCGTTCGCAGAAAAGATGTCTGTCCTTGTCACTGATAAGCACAGAGCTCGAGCTATGGGCGATGCCGGCCGTGAAAGGGTTTTATCCATTTTTACAATGGAAAGTTTTGCCAAGAAATTGGAGTCTTTGATGCATACAGTAATAACTAAAAGTGTCAGCAGTTAGTGTAAGATATGGTTTTCGTAAATTTTCTTTAGCTTTTAAACTTGGGGTTTTCCTTCTCCTTCAGGACTAACATCGGTTCGAAAGGAGCCCATCAGTTTCAGGGCCCAGTTCAGGGGTTTAAAATTTTATCCTGTTGGAGTAGTTTCTCTTGTTGTGAGACAGCAGGATGACTGTGCTTACAGGCAATTAATTGTTGCACCCAGTGGTGAGCCGGTAATTCGCAGTTTCCTGAATGGTGGTTCACTGTGTGCCGTGGACTCAGTTTTCTGTATGGACCTCAGAGGGATTAAAGGCAGAGTTCTCAAGCTTGTTCTGGCCATGTCCAACCCATTTTTCTGTAATTCATGAAATTATGATTGTATTTATTTTTGATGTGAAACGCATTCCATCTCTCCGATGTGTTTGTAGAGGTTTTGCGAAACTTGCGTGTATATTTAGGGATTAGGGGATTAAACGAACGGAAGTCGATTGTTGTTGGCTTTTTTAATTGTCACTCCAGTTCTGTTCATTCTCTTTGTTGCGCATGAACGTTTCCTTGAGGTGGTAGTAAATGAGACTGGTGTTATCTTCGTTGTGCTTTTCTTCCAGTAAAAACAGGCAAAAAAACTAAAGAGAATGCTAACGTTGTATACTAAACAGAAGAGGCGGGCCTAGGGGACAAAAGAAGACAAGCGGCACAGCAGACTTTTCGGTACCTGGATTCCAGGCACCAGTGGATGGAGTTTCTTAATCTCTGCGAACAAATTGTCATTTCTCGGATGTGAGAGCAAACGGACCTACACGAATTCGTTACGAGACTAGATGAAGCGTCGGAGCAAAAATGCATAATTGCAAACTTTTATTCATAAAAATACGACAGCAATGAGTAACTTAAAACAAACAGCACATGCACTAGGATACAAAATAGTGATATCGTGCGGATATATCAACCCAATCACCAACATCTCGGAG